AAAACAAAACAAAAACACCCGAATTTGACATATACAATTTGGGAGACCGTAAAACAGAAACTCCCTAATTCAGCGCCACATCATACCAATCGAGGCGCTTTCCTCTTTTATTTATTTCGATTTTTTATTCTCTGAAAGTTTTCAATTCAAAATAACGTTCATATTTTTGCTTTAATCAACGGATCTGTCGCCGCCGACAGGAGAGGGAGAGAGTGCTCGAGAGAGAAGGGGGAAGACGCCATGATCCGCACAGAAAAGCTGGGTAGGAAGGTTTCGAGTTCGGCTAAGGTAAAGAAGCTGGAAACTAAGAGGGTCAGTCCAATGAACCCTCTCTGTGACCTCAACTTCCCGTCCATTCCTCCACTTCAAGCGTCAGCTGAGGCCCAAAGAAGAGGATGCTTCCGCTTCTGCCGCCCCAATTCCTCCACCAAGGCGGACTCGTTTCTGAGATCCCAATGTCAGCCCCGAACTCCAAAATCAGCTCCCCCAAGCTCGAGAAACCTCTCCTCGAAAGCCATCCCTAGTACCTCCTCATTCAGGAACAAAAATCGTCCAAAACCGATCTGTGAGAACCCTCAGAACCTCAGATTGAAGAAGCCAGCGAAGCCAAATACTCCAGATCTTCTTCATAAATCGAAAAAGCGAAGACCTGTTATGACAGCGCACACCGGAGTTACAAAACCTGAATCCAATTTTAAGATGGATTTTAAGGCGAAAAATGTATTTCTTGTGGATTCTGCTCGAGAAATTGCAAAACCTGAACCCATTTGCAAAATGAATTCTACTCGAGAGAGAGCCATTACGCCTGAAGGGATTAAGCCTGTTTCTGAGGGAAAGCCACAGCTTTCAGCAACTCCTCCATCGAACTCCACGCCTCCCATTCAGGCTTCGATATCTCCAGAGGTCTCCTGTGCCTTCTCTGTAACTCCGACACCAGTGTGTTTCGCTACAGGGCATGTCATGGCCGGTGTCGAAGACCGAAGGAAGTGCAGACCTCGCGGTATTCTAACCATAGGGGAGCAGCAGGATAATCTATCTCGGGTTTCTTCAGCTCCGCCTCTTGTTGAAGCTTCTGTTTGCTGGTTTTCTTCACCCCTTGAGGTTAGAAATGGAAGTGGCGGGGATTCCTCTTGTTCTAAAGTTCGAACTTTTGATTTTCCTGATGAAGCTTCTGTAAATTGGCTTAAGTCTCCTCGAGATGTAGCACAGATAGAGATCGAGTCTGGTTTGGTAAAGACGAAATCTTCCATTTTGGATGCAGGGTTTGGAGTCGAAGAAACCCCATCATCTTACACTGGCATTCTAAGAACTCCTTCGAGTGGTAGTGTTAGTCCTTTTTCTGTAATTGTACAACGGGCAGAAGCATCTTCTAGGCCCCAAGTTCTTAGCACTCGGAAGGAGATAGGAGGATACAGATATGGCAATGCTTTGGATGTTTCTCCTTCTGAGGAAGCCTGGAGCAACAGTGGTGCTGTTTCTACTCCATCTTATACAAATTCCAAAAGAAATGGTGTCATATCTCTTTTGGAGATTGATTCTGCTACAGAGGATTTGGGAGCATTGAGATTGTCATCAAAACCGGTATCAGGCAACAATCAGAGTGATATTTCACCAATGCATAGTTTGAGCTTCAAATTTGGTTGCCAACCTACACCAACACCTTTGAACTCCATTGATCTCAACTGCTTCAAAAGATCTAGATGTGATGATCACTCTGAGGTAGAGAAAAGGGAGAACTTATTAGCATCAGGTGCAAGGATATCTTGGCGAGATGGACTTCTTAGTAGGATCTTTGAGATGGGTGAATTGGATTCTTATCACAGTTTCTTTGATGTTGATAAAGATGTTGATTATCAAAAAGATGGTGATGCCAAATCTGATTTTGGTTTTAAATTTGCCTTAGAAAATGGGAGTTTGTCTGTTGAAAAAGGAAATGGTTTTGGATCATATGAGTTTCCAGTCGGCAAAAACAAAATTGTTCATAAGTGTCCATCAAAAGTTCCTCTTTTGGAGCCCATTTCATTTGCCGAATCAATTAGCATAGAAGATGGTCTCGTCTCTTCGGGTGATTCTGATTGGACACTATTTTACAAGAATAATCTATTTGAAGTTTG